TGCTCCCAGGCTGTGTCCTGCTGCAAAATGCTTTCACTGGAGGAAAAAAATATGCTGGAACGAGAACTGGGTCTCTCTGGGCAGCCTCCAGTGTACCCTGGGGAAGCTGCAACAGGAAGGAGGGTCTAGTCCTGCCCACTTCAGGCTGACCCACAGGCACAGCTTCCCATTGTTGCACACCAAGGCTGCAAGCAAGGAGGAGCCAGGGTAGCAGGAACTGCATCATGCCTCACAAAAACTGGTGCTTTGCAAGCAACAGTAAAATGGAGCAAAACAAAAGTACACCACTTTCAAGAGGAAAGGCCAGGCTATTCCTGCTGCAGAAAGTGGAGAGACCCAGGACGGGACTGCAGGTAGCCATGTAAAGTTCCTGCTGGTGACAACCATCCAGAAGAGTGACAGGAAAGATTTTGAAGAAGAAGGCAGTGAGAAGTGGTTAATAAATATATGAATTTGCACATCTTATGTCTTCTTTCTGGTAAGCTGACATGCAAATTATTCTGATTTAAGTTCCTGTTTCTGCAGGAAGTCCAAGCATCACAGTATTTTGCTTTAATGATACCATTCAGCTATGACTGATGCTCGTTCGACTCACACTTCAAGGAAACTTCCAAATTGCAGTTCAGGCTCAGTTCCAGTTAAGGAGAAAACAATGATTCTGGCTAGGTTTTGGGTTGGGCTCCACTGTTACTTGGCATTATGCTCCAGTGTCAACAGTGTGGCATCTCCTTCCAAAGGGAAGGAGCCCCAGCTGCTCCACGCTCCACCACTAAGGTGTCTGCATATGCTTAATACTTAGTTGTCATCCTGAAACTCTTCCTGAAACAGGTGTAGGTTTGTATGTGATGATACCTCCATATGACACTTGGCCTCTCTCACAGCCTGGGCACTCCAGTAGGAAAACAGAAGTGAGGGAGTAGTCTCAGATAAACTCCAGGGTACCTGCTAAGGAAAGCACAGGTGTGAAAGCACAGGCATAGTCTCTGGGCTCTGGCACAAGTTACTCTGGGCTGGCAAATGGCTGTCTGACAGGGGATCCATGGTAATTATTCCTAATTCAGGCTTGTTTGGCCCTTGGTGTAATGCAAGCTGATTCAGCATTGGGAGAGCTACATTAACTTCAGTAGGGTAAAGGTATGCCCATGGGTAAAGCCTCTGATGCAAAGGATCTTCACATTCTTTGGTGTCTCCTTCATGAATCTGAGCCCTTGTGCTCAGGATTTAAGTGACTTTAATCAGACTTAATTTAATTCTCCCTAGAGGCAAAGTAATAAATTTATCTTATCCCACCACTTCACACAGCCCATTCCGCTGTATTAAAAGTCCCTGGGGCAGATAAATGTCCAGACCAGAGCACAGGGAGCTACTCATCTTGTTCATTACTTTTCTGTCAAATGCCATTTGTTAAATGTGAGTGTTGCTGACAGCAACAGCTTTTTTGCCCCCAAGGGTGGGAACAGAAGCAGAACGGTGTGAACGTTTGTCCATTTGCCAAATTTCTGCGAAACTTGCTCCTTATCTTCGCTCAGTGTCATCCACAGTTAGTTCCTTTCAAACAAAAACTGTGTGATTGGCAGGGTTGTGAGCCTTCAGGTAAGGATTAAGGGACAAACAAATACAGCAGATGTCATTGCGGGAGTCTACTATAGGCCACCCAGCCAGGATGATGACACCAACAAATTAGTCTTTAAGCAACCAAGAAGTACCTGTAGATCAACACAGCTGATACAAACAGGTCCAGAAGATTCCTAAAACACCTGTACTTATTGGTACAGGTACTATGGGAACTGACTAGGAAAGGTGCCTTCCTTGATTTGTTACTTGTTAACAGACAGGGTCTCGTGGATGAAGTGGTGATTTGGGACCATCTTGGCCACAGTGACCATGAAACAATCAAGTTTAAAATCTCCACTGTCAGGAAGAAAAGTGACAGCAAAACTTCAACTCTGGATATGTAGTGAGCAGAATTCAAGCTGCTCAGGGAACTAATTAGTGAGGTCCCCTTTTGAAGGTGCTAAGGTCCATCAGTGATGGTCAGTTTTCAAGTGCCACCTCTGAAGAGCACCGGAGTGGGCAATTCCAAAATTCTGGAAGTCAAGCAGCCGAAGTAGAAGGCTGGTTTGGCTGAGCCGGGATCTTCTTCTGGAGCTAAGGCGAAAAAGGGAAAGTGTATGACCAGTGGAAGCAAGGCCAGGGGACATGGGAGGACTTCAGAGATGCTGGAGTAGTGGACAGCCAAACTGCCAATCATGTGGCCACTGCTTTGCTGGGAAGCTAAGCAGAGGTGGCCCCAACTCCTACCAGGATAGGAGAGTGCCAGGGAGGACTGCCTTCTTGCTTCTGCCTTTTGCTTCTGCCCCTTTCCATTTTGTTTTTTCTTTTCCATTCCTTCCCTTCTTCCCCTCCCTGGCCCTGGATTTTGTCATCCTCCTTCCAAAGCATCCTCACCCGTGAGGTGGAAATCAGTCACATGGATGGAAGTGAGAGTACGGCCATCTCCCCATCCTCTTTTTGTCCCTTTGGCATCCATACCACTGTCGCTGTCCTGTAGGCTGGGAGATCGCTCTTGCATTTCCTTGGCACGGGTGTGCGAGGCATTTCTGCCCAACCAAGGTGGTGGGGGCGGGTGTTCTGTCATCCCCTCTGGGGAGCTGGGACAAGTTCCGGGGCCTGGAGCCTGTGTGGTGCTGCAGGCAATCGCCTGCCCACGGGAGATAAAGGCCAGAACCAGCCTTCTGTCCGGGCACCTTTTCTGTGGGGGAAATCTTTGGAGATGTATTCAACATTGGAGGTTGTATCTTTATTTCGGTGCCGGGCTCCTGAAAGAGGATGACAGAGCTTTTACATGGGAAGGAAAGCACCTAGCCCCAGTGTGAATGATGGGCTGCCCAGGAGAGGTAAAGGCCAGAAAGACCTTTCTGTCTTGGAAACTTTTGTGTGGGAGCAATCCTTGGACTTATACAATATTGGAGGTTATATCCAAAAAGTCTGCTGTGAGCTCCTGAAAGAGCATGACTGCTTTAGCACGGAACGGAGAGCACCTAGCCCCAAGGGCAGACGATGGTCTGCACAGGAGAAGTCTCCTGGGAAGTGGTGGGAGGCAAGGGCAGGAGGAGCCAGGGCGCTGAGGGCGGTGCCGTGGGTGCCGCTGGGGCGGGAGGAAGGATGCCCGTTTCCCGGCGGAGCCGTCAGCTGACGCCGCCGTTTCCTGGCCGTGCCCGCCATGCTGCGGCTGCTGCTCCCGCTGGCCGCCTGGCCGCGCTCCTCCGGCGGCGGTGAGTCCTCCTCGCCTCTCCTCTCCAACGCACCCGGGGCCCTGGGGGGCGGCTCGAGGGGCGCGGGGGCCGGCGTGACCGAGGGCTGGCAGGGGCCTCCTCCCGCCGCTGGAGGAAGGCGCTCCGCCCTCGGTCCGTTTTTAATTAAAGCATGAGCGATTTGGGGCTCATGGGCGGCGAGCAGGGCGCGGGTGCCGGGACTGTGCTGCGCCGAGGGGGAGGTCCCGCGGCAGGGACAAGGAAGGGTCCGTGCCCTTCTCCCGAGCAGGCCGTGTGGGGCTGGGGAAGGGCTGGCGGTGGCGCCCTCCGGGGGGGGATGGCCGGGGTCGTGTCCGGCCCGGAATGGCGGTGCCAGCTGTCCTCCGGCCGGCGCCGGGGCTCCCTGCGCTCCCGGGAGTCGTGGAGTGCAGGGCCTCGCCGAGCAGCCAAGGGCGGTGCGGGAACCGGTGCCGATCCCAAGGGAAAACTCGCTCGTCCTGTGGTGTGTGAGAGGAGGGAAAGGAGTTTTTCCTGTTCTGCATCGATTCTGTAGTAGGCACTTTGTCGCAGACCACTGCCTAAGGACAAATCCTTGGTCTTGACAGTCTTGTGGTTCATGCCTTGAGTTTGAGGCAGTGTGTCTCTATTACCTTGGTAGATGGTGCAGTTGAATTGTGCACAGGTGGTTAAAGTTGTATGAAAAGCAGCACAGCCTCAAGTGAGACCTCTGTGGAATGGGTGACAGTAAATGTGGGGGAAGTTATGGCTGAGCCTTCCAAAATTCTGAAGGTTGGTGGGTAAGAGGAATGGAGAACCAATACTCACCAAATTTGGTGGTATTAGCACTCCTGGGGGATTTAATAGATTAGTTTAAAACAGATTAAATATTGTAAAAATATATAGTGAATTTCAAGAATTTGCTGCCATGTGAGGTTGTAGAAGCAGACAGTGTTTACTGGATTCAAAAAATTGGATTTGCCAAATTTAAATATGTCAGGTTCATAAACAACATCCAGAAATGACTAGGCAAGGATTTGCTTTCGAACATCCCTAGTGTAGCAGCTTTATCAGCTGGAGGAGTATGAGGGAGCAGACCACAGACAGTGGCCAGGGTCATGTAATTTCTTTAAACAGCATTTCTTGTTGCTGTTGTCCAGACAGAATATTGCCTGGTGTCTAGAGGACCTATGGACTTGGATCAGTAGATTAGCAGGGTATTTTTTATGCTCTTATCCTTCCTAGCTTTGTTTGTGTAAAATAGCAGTTTTTTAATATGAGAACTTGAGGAACTGAGGGTGGCAGACGCGGTTTTTCTTATCAACCCACATTTCCCTGACACAAGCAATGAGGGAAGGGATCCTTTTAAAACTTACTCTAGTCTTCGAAATAGAGCAAGGTCCTGTTATCACAGAGCTGCTAATGTTCTTTTAAATTAGCTTGGGAAGGTATATCCTACAAATAAGCAACCTGGCAAACTGCGGTTTTGAGACTTCTGGGCTCAGGCTCACTGCTGAGCCCTCCAAGGCTGCTTTTGTGTCCTAGTTCTGAGATATTTTTGGCTGTAATGATTGCTTTTTCTCTAGTTAAAGTGTGGACTGAGAGACAGGAAGTGTGTTGAAAATAAGCATATGGCACTGCATGACTGTTATGTCAGACATGATCTCTATTGTATATTATAAAAGACCATCCAAACTTTTTTCATCTACAATCAAAATGAAACAGTAGGTTTGTTTTAAATAGAAATATGCGTTAGTAGAAACACTGTGACTGAGCAAAATACAGAGCAAACCAGGGAATTCCGGTGCAATTCAAACATAATTGATCCTTGTTTGTTTTCAGTCTGTGAGCAGATATGTGGTAGACTCTGCTCCCTTCTAAAGGAGCAGAGTATGTGACGTTTTGATCCCTTTTCAACTAATCCCTGTTAGAATAGGATATGCTGAAATAGGCATTGAAACTTGGAAACTGTGCATGTAGTGGAAGTGGTCTGGAAGCGAGTAGCAAAACACAATGTGAGTTTCACTGATCCTACTGATTTTCAGGGCTTTGGAGAAGTCTGATTCACAACTGCAGGCAAGGATATCTGCTGATACATCATCTGCAGTTTCTGGGACCACAGTTGCATCTGGTAGCTGTTCCAGTGGGGATTTCACTGCTGCTGTAGCATGTGTTAGTAGAACCTCTTGCATTCGGTAAGAATGAGGTAGGGTGATGCCTGCTTTTCGGATGGAGCCAACTGCTTGGGAAGAAGAACAGAAAACACATGTTAAATTAATATCAGAAACAACTTAGTCCCAGAACATGTATGAAATTTCCAAATACTATAATGATTGTTTCCAGCACTCATTGCATCCCTGTTGCGATTTATTGCCATCTGCTATAAGGAAGTCTTAATGAGAAAAGAGCATATTAAAAAAAAAAAAAAGGGTGGGGGAGGAATCATAGAGGGCTGCAGGCAGGGAGCTTGGAAGGGGACTGCCAGAATCCAGTCTTTTCTGTTGTCTGATTTATTCCACATCAGGACATCTCCTCTGTGTCTTTATAACAGTGATTCTGCATGACCCAGCATCTTGGGTAGTACGTAGAGTAACAATCCTTTATTGCAGTCTGGGAAAAAGGGAATGTGTGTAATATTTTAAAACGGCTGATACTGGTTCCTGGTTGCAGGCTTTGTTGACCCAAGGCACCCCTTCATAACCACATTATTGCCTACTGGAGACTTCTGCAGAACAGAAGGGAACAGTCAGGAAGCAAAGATGATCTCCTTCAAGCAACTGCCCCTTGAAGCAAAGGCTGCAGTGGCTGCAGGAATGGTTTTCTTCTCTATGATGCTGTCGCGGAGTTATCTGGCAGAAAAACTCGATCTCAGGATGCGGCACTGGGTTCTAAGGCTGCAGATGGCACTATTTACCAATACACTCATGCTGATGGGATCTCTTCATGTTTGGAAAAGCACAGTCACCATGTTCACCAGGTCTTCAGCTGCCAGCTCCCTCTGTTTCATGCTGTGGAAAATAGCTGTGTTCATGTTTCTAGCTTTGGCTCATTCAAGCTTCTTTACATTGCTATGTCTTGTTGCAGAAGAGCCCTATTTCTTTTCTTTAGCTGCCTACACCTGCCTTGGGGCCTATATCATTCTCATCTTCTTCCTCTTCACTCTAGGCTCTGTAGAGCAGGCTTACAAGTTCTTGGTGGGGAGAGGCACTAAGGCAGGCACTGGCAACAAGAACAGAACAGCAATGAAACCAGTTTTGGCAGTCGTGCTGACTCTTGTGCTGACTGTTGTCGGGCTGTTAAATGCTTCCCAGCCTCCTGCTGTGAATTCAGTGGAGATTCCAGTTCACAAGCTGCCCTCAACCATGACTAACCTGAAAGTGGTGTTGCTTTCAGATATCCATCTGGGGCCTACTGTTGGGAAGACCAAGCTTGCCATGATAGTGAGAATGGTTAAGGCTTTAAAACCAGATATCACGGTGATCGTTGGGGACCTGACTGACGCTGAGGCAGAGATCATACGACCTGCTGTTGAGCCTCTTGGAGAACTTGATTCCCCTTTGGGGACGTACTTTGTCACAGGAAACCATGAGTACTACACATTAGATGTTAGCAACTGGTTTGAGCTGTTAAAATCTCTTAACATTCAGCCGCTGCACAATGAGAATGTGAAGATTGTTTCGCCAAAGAGCACTGATGACTGGTTCTGCCTGGCTGGTGTGGATGATATTGAAGCAGATGCATTACGCTACTCGGGACATGGCATGGATTTGAAAAAAGCTCTCAGAGGTTGTAGCAGTGAGCATGCAATAGTGCTTTTAGCTCATCAGCCAGTTGCTGCAAAGTGGGCCCTTCAGGAGAGACCAGACATAAATTTAATTCTCTCTGGCCATACTCACGGAGGGCAGATTTTCCCTCTAAATGCTGGAGCTTATCTTCTGAATCCATTCTTTGTTGGCTTGTACAAAGTTGGGCAGAACACCTTTGTCTATGTCAGCCCAGGGACGATGTACTTTGGAATACCCATGAGGTTGGGCAGCAGAGCTGAAATAACGGAGATAATCCTACGTTCTGCTTGAGTTTTCCATTTGACAGACTTCTACTGTTCTTTTTTTGGTCAGTATATTGGCTCTTCTGCTGTGAAAGCAAATCCTTTTTCAGGGAAGCCAGAGAAGATGTACTGGGCTGAACTTCAGCGGGTTCTATTAAGTTTAAGCAGAAAACACTAAACTGTATCTTGGGCCTATGAAAGAAATTTGGGGCATGTTAAAATACTGAAGAAGTTAGTTCTTTGAGTTCACTATCATTGAGATTCTGCATTGAAAGGTAATGCTGATGTCATGCAGATAATGTGTGTCCTGTGCATGTTTAGTAATATCTGTTTCCTGCACCTACTTGATTTTCCAATGTTTGCTATCTATCAGGCAGCTGCCTTATCCAGTCTCAGGCAGGCAAAGTTCTGATCTCTTGCAGTGAAATCACTCATGCATGTTTTGCAGAAGGGACTGCAGAGTGCCCACTGAGTATGCAAAATCTAGAAGTCTTATGCTAGAAACGTTAGGGGAAGGGAATAGTTGAGGATTTTTTTTTTTTAATTGAGGCTGGAATCTGTATCCTTCTAGCTGTCTGCAACATGCATGAGGGCTTCCAGTCTGTGCTTACTAGTACAGTAAGTTGCCAGCCATCAGTTCCTGAAATCCAATATTTTCCAGTTAAAAAGTTGGTGAGACTGATATCAAAGGATGAAAGTAGCAGTCATTCTCAGGCATTTCCCCAGAATAGCTGAGCATCTAGTAATTACTTACTGAAAATAGCTCTAATAAAAGCAAATGAGAAAGAAATTTCAAAATTAATTTCTGTTGCTGCCTAAGCATGCAGTACCTCCTGATGTAGAGCACAAAATCCGAAGCTGAAATACTAAGTGTCTTTTCATTCTATGTTTTTTTTTCTTTCTACCTGATTTCTGCTCTGTCATTTTTCTCTTGCAAGAGTAAGGAGATGCCATTTGAAAACAATGCAAATAGGTTAATGCTTGAACTTTGTTTAAAGGCTTTAATATCTCAAGTAAATTGTGCCCTTTTTCAAGGAGACTAAGCTCTGCAGTGGGTGACTTTCCTTAAGAGCATTTGCATATCATTGTCCTGGGTGTCTGTAGCCACAGGGCTTCCCTTGCTCTGCCTTTCTGCCCACCAGCACCTGGGTTCCTCTCAGGCAGACCCATGTAGCATGGGGCAGAAGAGAGCAGTTTTTACGTGGGAGACTGAGGATGGCAAGACCAGAACTGAGGTGTTCAGTCTTTTCCTGTGTGAACCTGAAGCACACGACCATACACACTTCTGTTTTGTTCTTCAGCTTCCATTCTCGTTTTGAAGGAGGTGTATTTGAAAAGTGCTATAAGCTTTGTAAAGTTGAGTTTTTCTCTGAGTTAATAAATTTTGAAGTTTCGCTTCATCCGCTTCCTTCAACCCTCCCCCAGGCAGAGTTTCTAACTGCTAGGCTGGTTTTGTATCCTGTTCCTATGTACAAACATCTTGCCTTTTTACTCAGGAATATTGAGAAATACTGTAAATGTGTCATGAAGGTCAGTGGAATTGTTGGAGAAGTCAGTGCTCTTTTAATCTGAAAACTGAACACCTGACCACTCAGGCTCTCTACTGGCCAGACTAGATAATTTCTGTTTCCTGACACCTATAATTTTGTGAACTTTTTTTTTATGCTCATGAGATGATACCTGCTTAAGTATCCTGAAGTTTGCATGTATATTTAACGCTGCCCACTGTCTGTGTGGGCAGTGAGTGCCACCACTTTGCAGTCGGTGGCATAGTGTCAAATGGTCTTAGGCAGTGAGAATTTTGATAGCCTGTAACCCTCCGTTTACTTACCGACATGCCTTCAGTTAAAAGCTTTTCACTTGTTGCACTGAGTGCTTTACCATGTAAAGAAGACTAATTGTTAAGCAAGTTTCCTTAACTGGAGGCATTTGTTGGACTGATTTTAGATGGTGTCAGTTTCTCAGTGAGTTGCTAGTATTACTTTTTCTTTTTTTTTTTTTTCCTTGCCCTTTTTATTCTTCTCTTCATTCTGTCCAAATGTGTGCAAAAACCTAGCTGAAGAGGTCTTTCCATTCCAGGATTTCTTAATTACTTTTTATGTGCCTCACTTGGAAGATTGTAATATGTCCTTTCAGAAGCCAATATGCATCCTTTTAGGAGTGGTCATATTGTCATTTCATAACTTTATTGAGTTCTCCCACTGTAATTTAGTTCTTGTTCAATTTGTTTTCTGTAAGTCTCTCCCTCTGTAAGCTTGTTTGCTTGATGATTACTTATTACTTAACATGTTTTCTTTCTGTGCCAAAACATTTCAAAACCTTTTCTTATTTTGCTTCTTAAATATGAATGGAAAGTATCTTAGATCAACTTTCTTCTTGATAAAAGGAATTAGCTGTTTCTAAAACCTAATAGAGTAATATCTAACTGTCCTTCAAGGTTCTTCCTATACATTTTCCTATTTGACTTGAATGTCCACAATGTAGACCCATGTTCAGTATTCCAGATGAAGAAAAATTGCTGTGCTGCTTATTTTGTAATTTTTTTGATTTTTTTTTTTTTAAATTTTGTGTGTGTGCGTGAAATGTATTTGATCTGGAGAACGTAGCTAAATGAATATGTATTTCTTTCCATAAAAGGCCAGTTCACTGAGGGATGGGAGGGCAGTTAATTACTGTCAGAATTAATAGCAGAATGGATTAGTATCATCACTTTGTGAAAGTTATATTTATTATATAATTACTCTAGAATGGATTAAAAATATGTAAAATGTGATATAACAAATGCTTTAAATGTTGGGATTTAATAAAATTTTATTCTTATATCAAGAAATATGCCTCTAATGACCTCTTATTTTGTACCAGTATATATTGAGCAGTTCATGCTGAATAGTTTTAACACACTCGTATTTACTAACAAAAAGCTACCAACAATAAACCTGACTAGTTTTGGAAAATCTTGCACACACACTGCTAAGCAAGACATGGGGAAAAGTGGGAAAGGTAAGGCCACTATTAAATTTTCCTGAAGCATATTAGGAGAAAACGGTGCAGGCTGAAGAGATGAGAATGTGATGCAGAGAAAAGGACTGCTGCAAGGAAAGAGAAGGGTTATTAAGAGAATTCTTTGGAAGGAACAGAAGTGGTTTGTGGTTCTCAATTTTGGTACTTACGCTTTGGGGTAGAGGAAGGGCTGTTTTGTGTTTGAATGGTCTAGATAGGAGAGGCCAGAAACCTTCACAGGTGGAGAGGTTTGTTGAGGATTTGTATCCACATCTGCTTGCTTTCCAAATAAGAAAAAAACCCTGCTTTGTAAATTTGGAGAATGAGAGATTCTAGCCACTGTCAAATAAATTTTTTTTGTTGAAGTTATGTAATTTTTTTTATATCAGGAGACATATACATTATAAAATGACAAAATAGTGTTAAGATTGCAAAATAAATTCTTCCTTCGTTTAAGAAAGGACAAATTCTTTAGTTCATCCCTTTTTAGTGTGAGTATGCTCTGAGCAAGTAAGATGCAACATTGCCTCTAAGGGTCTGAATTTTCAGCTGGCACTGATGTGATTTGCTATGAATGAGCTGGCATCCCAAACAGTGCTGTTAGGGTGTGTCTGTTGAATCTGCTCGCCAGATGAGCAGACCCCCTACCCCATCTAGGGAGATAGAGTGGGAATGAATTCCCTGCATATTCACAACCATGAGTATGCAATATTGACAGAGCCAGACATAAATTCATGATGAGAGCTCTCTTGTTTTCATTGCAAGCCCTGGGTCATGAATTAACAATAAAATACTGTTGAGTAATTGATCATGAGTGGAAGTCTGTTTGCAATGGGTGATGAATGAGGTAAATCGGAAGTACTCTGGAATCTTCCTCCCTCTCTTCACCCCTGTAATAACACTGTGTCAGGAAGCATATGTGTTGGGAAGGTGACTTACAGCTTTAGAAGCATGACTTCTAAATGGTAACTGGTTCAATGATGACCACTTTCATAATTAATACCTTCTTTTAATTGTTTTATTGCTTTAAGGCAGCCTTGGTTCTCTGCCAGAGGTGTCTGTCCCTGGGGGCGTGTAAACAGTTGTTTCAACATTCATCATCTCAACAGTTATCTGCCACAAATGGAACAAGTGTCTTTTCCATAGGCCTCTTGATGTGGTCTAAAGTCTAAATGAGAGGACTAAAATTCTCTTACAGAGGGAAGCCACAGCAATTTTGACTCTCCTTATTTCCAGGGATAGTGGCCTTTTAATGTGTAATGTGCTTTTATCCCTAATGATGCCTTTGTTTTTTCCTCTTATAGCATTGCAGAACTGCATTGCTGCACCTGGGTTCTGAGTTCCATTTAGTCATGATCATTTGGAACACTCAGCTCTGCATTGGTGCTGTGATTTGTCACAGGGCCCTACAGTAAAAAACATTTGAAGAATGTGAAACATCTGCTTGGTGTTTGTAGGGGAGAACGGTTTTGTTCAGGGGTACACACAGTACAATTTCATCCTAGTGCAGGAATCAAGATGCAGGTTTTAACTGAAAGATCTGCAAAAAGCCACATATATTGGAATTGAACAGAAAGTAAGCAGCTGATCTTAGCATCCTTTGCAGTGATAGTTTACTTGAGGCCTAACAGCCTGGAGTTACTACAGAATACTAATTTCCTATGGAGAATCCCAGCCTTTGAGTTACAATTGTTCCATAGCAGTTGGTTTGTATTTCTGAGCTCTGTAAGGTCCTGATTTTGTAGAAGTCTGGCATGCCCATGCCTTTTTTGAGTCAAGATTTATTTCAACTTTCACGGAACTCTCTGTTAAGTAATCTTAAGAATGGGTCCGTGTTTATGGAATGAGAGCATGAAAAGCTTCTGCTGTGCCACACTTGGCAATCCCTTGCATTTCTGGTGTCCCTGCCAGCTCATTGTTGTATCTTCCCATATCTGTTGTTATATGTTGACCACACTTGCACTTGTTCACTATTGGCAGAATGTTTTGAATTGCTATGTGCATTTAGGACATTTTCCGCAACTTTTTTTAGGTTTTCTGCAAAAAATTGCCTCTGTTGCAGCTGCAACACAATGTAGTCTTCCTCATTGAAATTTGTAGTCTTGAAATGTTTGTAGAGAGTTATCTCACTCAGTTGCTCAATTTAATGACAGTCTAGGCATAGGCATGTTTGCTGAGTAATTTCATCCTCAGTTTTTCAGGAGGGTGTGTTTTTATTTTGAACTATATCTACTAGTTTGTACTCTTGTTCTTTTGTCCTGTGACACACTGCACTGGTTCCTGTTTGCTTTTGTGTTGTGCTGAGGCTCAAGTGGGCTATAGGTAGCTAGTCATTCACCATCTGTTATTTTAGGACCATTGTATCTTCTGTTATGGGCAACCCACAGGTGTTGTATAGACTGTTCTCTGTGTCTTTCAAGGCAGGAAAAAATTACATCGTGTGTTTGTTTGTTTTGTACGCAGAATGTACCCCAGAGGAGTTTTGGGATTGATTATGATTCCAACTGCTTTGTCAAAGATGGGGAGCCTTTCCGTTACATCTCTGGCAGCATTCACTACTCACGGGTGCCCCGGTATTACTGGAAAGACCGCTTGTTGAAGATGAAGATGGCAGGGCTTGATGCCATTCAAACGTGAGTAGCTGATGACTTTCCAAGAGATTTGTAGTCCTGGGAGCTGTATGAGTAGTAGTTAAGTGGAATGTTGCCATTTTTAGTTGGTTTGTTATTTTTTAAGTAATAGGTGAGAAAGCTCTGGAGAAGTGAAGGGTGGTACAGGATGACCCCTGTGAGTGGAAACTGGGGCAATTGGGCAGGTTATAACTAACAGGCAACACCTATTTCACAACCCAGGGTGCAAATGTGACCTGAAATAAATTGTTGGACTGTGAACTTTGGCAGCTATGAAACAGTTGTATGTGCTCTGCCTTTGCCAAGGACGTTGTATTCTGTGGTCAAAAGGCAGATCAGGTGAGAGGACACAATAGCCTATTTAAAGCTCTTTCACCAGGAGCATTTAAATTTAGAAAAATGGTTGGGAACTAGGTGTTCTTGTTTAAAAAAAAAAAAGTTTAAAAGCTTTCATTTTTGTGTGAATACCAAACCCTTAGTCCATCTTTCTTATCTGTCCTACTTATTGCAACAGGTGAGGCACCGATAAAAAAAAAAAAAGAAGCTTAGTCTTATTTTTGCCAAAGCTTTCTTGACAAGGGGAGCGGTGGAAAAGTGTAAGGCACAGTCTTTTCAAGCAAGGGTTGTAATTCCCAAACAGGTTTGTTTTTCTTTCTTAAATCATTGCAAGGCTTAGAGCTTCTCTTTGAAGCTGCCTGCTTTTGTGCTATGGACTGCCAGACAGTGTTGGTTCTGTAGACCTGTAGGCCAGGGCACTTTGCTCTGGGGGAGTGTTGCACCACCTCTCCTTCCCTACCCTTGAAATCGGTATTTTTGTTAGACCTGCAAGTTGCCTTGTACACTTGGGGATATGATTAGTCAGGGTTAGTATGTAAAGAAAATACAGCAGTGAAAGAAAAGAAGTTGTGTTTTTCCAAATTTAGGATTCTCTATTATTTTTGTGTGTGATCTTCTCTGTCTTGAGATGATGCAGTGACTGGTGAGTGGGTTTTGGGTGGTTTTTGTTGTTTTCCATTAAAGCAAGCAAGCTCTGTCTTCACTCACGTTATGTAAGAGAATGGGATTAAGTAACACACTTGCTCAGGACAGGGTTTCTGGAATTGCCCATGTAATTATTTTTTGCTGCAATAAGAGTAATCTAAAGTGGACCTGAAAATTAATACCTTTTGTTGTTTGGCTTGAAGGTCAGCCTGGGTCCAGAGAGTGGCTCTGTGACTCCTGCGATCCATGGTGTCTCATACTTCCCTTATGTCTCTGATTAATTTTCCTCCTCCTCCCAACACCCATTTTCAGCTTTTAAAAACAGTCCCTTCCTTTTTTTTTTGTTTGAAATTGCTTGTTCATGTCTCTGCTGTGTCACAGGCCTTTTGAGATAGAAATATTTTCTTTCCCGTTCACCCTATCACTGTTGTTTAATGGCAGAATTGCTGCAGGGTTGGTTTGTTTTCTTCCCTGTTGCTTTCCCCCTCCTCCTTTATAATCTCCCACTAAACCCATAGTTTTTTTCTTATTCCTTTTCCTTTTTTTTTCCTTGTTGAAATCTCTGCTTTACTGTTTTGCATTAGCATCCTTCTGCTGTGCAGGAAGGAGCGGAGATTGTCTTGTTCTGCTGGTGCCAACTGTTGGTCTTGGGAGGGCTGAGTTGTGTCTGCTTTGGCACAGAAGGTGCTGTGCAGCTGGCAAGGGGTTATGGGACCTGTGGGCTTAGGTGTTGCTGGATGACAAATGACAGATAACAGTTTTATTACAACCTCCATTTCTCTCTGTAAGAGCACATTGAGATTCTTGAACTTTCTCCCCTGTTATTGCTTTACCTTTGGATTTTTTTCTGCTGTGGTGAAAGATAAAGTCCTAAATGTGTACCTTAGAAGCAGAAATGACCCCAGTGCCTTGTGTTTTCTACAGGAATGAAATCCATGCATTTTTCTATTTGATACCAATCTCTCTCTCTTTCTCTCTTGATGCTAAAAAAACACCTCACCCACCAAAAACCCCTTTTGTTTTTCTTAGAAGTTTGCCAATAATCAAGCCTTACTGTTCTTTATTATTTGAGATAAAGCAATAAATGTTCATTATCCCAAACAAATCTGCTGTGATTTTGTGGTTTTGTTAAAAAATGAAAATCAATGTACATGATTATTTAGTTGTGCTTTTGTTTTCTCTTCTTCTACATACTCTTTCCTGTATAAGTGATGCTGTT